TTGACTTGGTTCAATAGATACCTATCCATCTTGAAAAAAACGTGATAGAGCGGACCGACCACATCTACCACTTTCCCACCTTCGAACATTTGAGCGCTTACCAAGAGAACGTTGTTTGTTCCAGTTCTAGGACTATGTTCACCCATGTCCCCCTCGTCGTCCCGCTTCCATGTTTGGGTAGTCAACTGAGTCGTCTTAGCTTCATTACCGTATTTCAAAAGACTCTGTATGTAAGCCTTGTAGGAATAATGACTCGTCGTTGAAACTATGTTCTTCCCCTGTAGAGTAACGTCCACTTGTGAAAAAAATGAATGCATAGATCAGACTGTTTCGTAAATCTAGTAATTCCAATCCGTTTTGTCCGGAAGCGACAAATTCTACTACAGAATCGCTCGTGATTTGAGATAACGGTAACATGTCTTGATAGTAAATGTTTTCAATAGCTGTCTATGTCGGTGGAAGGTCAAATATCGCTAATTCTTACGGCTGTGCTTCTCTGAAGAACTCTTTGTTTAACGCAGCCATTGTGATATCAGACTCTTATTTTTCCTTTTATTCTTTTTTCACAGATTTCCTTTTGACTTCACTTTTCACTTTACTCGTCTTCCGTTTTGTTGTACTTGTTTTTCGTTTTTTTAGATGTGTTCGTGGAGTGTTTACACTTCGACGTTTCCTAGCAGACTGACGGCGATTTGGAGTTCGTTTCCTTTTCATCTGAGATTTAGCTTGTTCTAGTACTTGTTGAGCCGGAGAGACCATGCTTACGTTTACCTCTCGCGAAGGTAAGGCCTTTTCTCCCACTTTATCGTTTTTGTCTATGGGAATCACGAATTCGTTCGAATTTTGTGACAATCCTCCACCGAATTGCTTCACGTTTCGTTTCGTATTGACTACATAAGCATTTTCATTTCCACGTGCCACCTCTTGATACTATTTTATCCATTTCCCCACGTTGGGATCGTACATCCTTGAAACGTTCATGCTAGACATGGATATTGTTTAAAGTGAAGTGTGATCGTCGCTTGATCTTTTAAGAATGAAGCTGAATCATCCTTTCCCGTTCTTAAATGAAATTCTATATCTCTAACATCTGACTTTTTCACAGATATGTAGTATGGAACATTGAACGATTGGGACCAGTTTGCTACTTTCATTGCTCTTATCGGACGGAGAAGAGTTTCCTTTTCACCATCGACGAAGCTTTCGTCACAAACGTCACTGTATAGGTATAAGTTATGTCTCGTCTTCGTACCACTCATAGTTAACGAAATGTCGACTAAGGCCACTTTCCAAGCTCCATGTAGATTTAGCGGTGTTTGGAAGTGCGCACCGAATTGGTAAGGTTTGTTTTGAGGAAAGTAATTCTTACTCCCATCACTGTGAATGACTCCGTAATGTGACATCTTAGGCTTTGCTTACATCTCTGATGCCTTTCTCTGCTATCCACTGGTTATATTTAGACAGCCATACTTCGAATTTAACGAGCCATCCGATTTGACCGGTTCTCTTACGATGTTTTGTTTACATCGTTGGGAGCGGTACCATTTACCGATCTGTGAGGTGTAGCATTGTAGCTCTTGACAAAATCTTGCAATTTGTCTGCATATACACAAGTTCTGTATTTCGTGAAATACCTATACATCGTAGTCTTTAGCGTTCGTATGACACGCTCGACCATTCGATTTGACCGGCTCTCATTAATTTTTCTTCGATATACCATAATGCGTTTTCGTCCTTGTCCACTCTCTGTAGTTCGGATTGATAAAAGTTCCCCGTGATTGGCTCGTTCAAAAAGTCTATTAACTGATACTGTGGTATACCTTGACGTAAGAAGCGCTTGTTGACTTCGAATATTTCTGAAGACCATTGTTGTTGATAAGCTCGTGTAAAGGGTTGTTTTAAGCGTGAGATTCTCACCAGGCTTTCAATCTTAAACATGAAGTTTTGTTTCTGTTTTACCGTAACGGTTGTTTTCCTTTTTCTAAGTATTTTCTGTTTCTTTCTGAGATACATATAGGTGAAGAGATCGGCTTCGTTGGTTTTGTTTACATCTTTGGGAGCGGTACCATTTACCGATCTGTGAGGTGTAGCATTGTAGCTCTTGACAAAATCTTGCAATTTGTCTGCATATACATAAGTTCTGTATTTCGTGAAATACCTATACATCGTAGTCTTTAGCGTTCGTATGACACGCTCGACCATGGACGCTTTCTGTTCATTGCGACTAGTAAAGTATTTAATGTCATTGTCTTCACAATATCGTTTCATCAAGTTCCCGGTAAGTTCTTTACCTGCGTCGGTATACAAACGTTGTTGTTTTTGCATGTCTGACGATCGTTCTAAACGCATCTAACACGTCTTTTGTCGTTTTCGTCTTTGTAGGTTCCACCCATAAGAAGCGGCTGAATACACCTATGACGACGAGAAGGAACCGAATACCGACATTCTGTTTAGAGAGGTTCGACACGTCTGCAAGATCGGCTTGAAATTCCTCGTAAGGACCGGAGACTTCCACTCGTGCTCTCTTGAACGAACGCTTGACTGGTTTTTGTAAGCTATAATCGTCCAAGCTTTGAATATATCTTCTAACCTTATATAGACCTGGTGAAGCGAATCCTTGGGATTTCAAAATTTGATGAACTTTCGTTGGACTCATAAAACTACCTCCGTTCTCGAAATTGTAATACACCTTATCTATAAGTCGTCTCTCTTCCTCGGTCAACATATTCAATGATAATACAGACAATATAGTTATATGTAGTCTTTTATTGTAATGTTTTATGAAATTAGTGTTCTACACGAGTCATGGATGTCACTATTTTACAGACTTTCTCTCTCCATATTTATGTTTTGAGTTCATTCGCTCTCCATTCGGCATTACATAATTGTGATATGAAAGCGTTTCTAACTCATCTCTGAACTTTAAAACGAACAGTCTCTCGAATAAAGTCGAGAATCACTCTGATGTCATCTACATGAATACAGGCTATCTTCACATCACATTGTCTTTCACTAATGATTTCTCTGACGTGGTTTGCATACATCAATTTCAATAAGTTGTCCATACTGACGACTTCCGGCGCATCTAAAGTAGCATTCATTCCCATGATGGTATCTTGATGTTTTTACTAGGTGGATGCATTCTATAGAAATGTTTTTATGGTTCCAATATTTCAATGTTTTCCCACACTTGTAACAAGTCACGTAATCGCTGATACTCTCGTAGAAAAACCCGTCACAGGCTAACTGATAAGGACTCTGGCAAAGTTTACATCTCCACTGAGCAAATGTTAACCACCGATCGGTACAGGTCGTCATGTGTAGGTGAACTGGACGAGTGGTACCAGTGTTCATCTATAAGTAGAATGAATAGTTACGTTGCTAATATTCTTTCCTATAGTGTTACTTTATTGTTTGTCTACCGTAAGATCACCATTACATCCAAGTATCTTTCGGATACTCTTTCAATATGTGTTTCACTATCGTTTCTCACCTCTGTCAGAGTAGTTTTCACAATAACATACACAGATGGGACAAATGTATCTACATCGTCTCTCGTATTCTTCAACGATTACGGAAAGCTGATCACCATCAACGTCAATTTCCACATACTGATCATCGCTCATATTGTATTTTACGTATACTATCTATTAGTCAGATGAATAAATATGCTTGAACTTCACTGATTTTCTCTACGTATTTCTTTATCATTTCGCTATATCTTTGTTTCACGTAGTTCTCGTCTCTTAAACTCTCGTCTTGCATCAAACATTGTAATGTGTCTGAAGGTATACAAGATTGAATGGCAAACTTACACCAAGTCTTTTCCACTTCCGAATGATTTGCAACGGTCAATGCCTCGTCAAAATGTAAGTATATAACAACAGCACCGGAATACATCAGACATTCATGTTCCTGTTGACCAGCTCGACGATTCTCACAGCCTAAACATACGAATAGTTCTGTTATTTTAGGTTTTATAATGTATGCATATGAGAGACACAGCAGATTTTTCAGTAGTCTCCGATAGGCCTTTTCTTCAGTTTTTCGGATCAAATAGTTCTGCAGCCTTGATGATTCTTTAGAATATGTCGATTTAAACTGTCTTTTCTAGGAAATGAAGTATTGCAATGTGAACATGGGAATGGTTTCTCGTGACCTGCCAAATGTCTCTTGAAATTGTCCAATCTTCTTATACGTTTATTACAAACGTGACATTGGTAGTCCTCAGAGTCGGCCAATCGTACTTTTTTAGGAGGTGGTTGGTTTTCTTTGTCTTCTCCGAGTGTCTTTTTTAGCTTTCGTAATTGTTCCGCTACAACATCGTCGGGGAAGTCTCGCAATAGCTGCTCTATAGATGGTAGTTCAGCCATGGTAGCCGATTACACTATGAGCTGATGTTGTCGACACCTGTAGTTATATACACCTTAGAGAAATGGTGTAATGTTTAAAGAGGGTGTATATAGGCATGATGCAATTGTGTGGTCAGTGCTTGTATCCATATACACAGTCATAGTAGGCTGGACATCGATACATTGTGTCTATTTATAGATGTGATGTAAAGTTGAAGAAAGAATAAGTTCTTAAACGATAACCATTTACGCTTGATTGGTTTCTGTAAATTATTCAGAAAACGTTCCGTTGTATCTTCTACTGCTAACTTCCCTCCCTTCTGTTGCTTATCCGGTCTGATTTCTCCATCCTCATCAGCTTTTTGTTGGTCTGTTTGATTAATTTCTTTAGTGTCGGTAGATTTTAGATTGTGATTTGTATGTTCTTCGTTTTGCGTCTGTTTTTCGTTTTTATCAGGGATGTTATCATCTTCGATTAATTTGTCATATTAAGTCTTTGTTATAAAGACGAGTTCTCTTGCCATTGTTGATAGGTGTTGATAAATGTTGGTAAAACTCCAAGTAAAGCGGTGAATCGCCTTCTCCTCTCCTTTGGTGTTATATTTTTAGCTAACACTTTTCGAATGGCGAGTTTCTGTTTAGATACAGTCTTTTTATCTGCTTCAGACATCGGTATGTTATCCATGACTGTATTATATATGATTTCCGTTAATAATTGTAATTGTTCTCTAGTAAGCGTGTTTATGATAATCGTTTGCTGATGTTGAGGTGCAGAAAGCATAAAGTCGAGAAAATAATTCATTTTTTTGCTTCATAGATGATTGGATCCTCTCCGGGCAATATCCTAGTGCGAAGTGGGGGAAGTTCTGTCGGACCATCCACAATATTCAACAATATTCAACTGTGGACCGTGTGGACTGACGTCGACAAAAAGATATCCATATCTTTTAGAAACGGCAGACAGGTAACTCTGTCTAAAATATTCTAGCCGTCTGGGAAACATTTGTCTTCCCAACGTCTCGATTTGTGCTTGATCTCTATAATTTCTAAACAGGATAAAGTAATGAGTGTTTAAACTTAAAGTGCGCATGACCTTCCCCTTCTGAAATACATTCTGTACTAAAAATATGACAGTTACATTTCGGTGATGTGACCCTATGCAAAACATTTTCATGAGGTGTATGGAATTATATCCTTCTATCAAACAGTCGTCTAGTACGATTATCTTGTGTTTATCTGTAACAGAAGTCCATTCTTCAAACTGTGTTTCGTCTAAGATCCCTTTAACGAAGGTAATTTCTTTGATATTACGTTTGAGTTCATCAAACATAGGTTGCCAAGTATCGTAACAGATCATAATCTTAGCCGTAGGTTGACTAAACAAACCATCGGCATTCTCTAATATGTGTTTCATCAGAAATGTTTTACCACTTCCAGAGCTACCTGCTAACTGTATTGTGGCAGGACAGATGATGGGAACCAGACTTGTCTGTGACATGATTCAAAATGAAAACAGGTAAGTGAAAGTTCAATGTTTTATTAATATTCTTGACAACATGATTGATATCCATCACCAGTTTGAAAACAAAACGGAAAAGATATAATCATATACAAATTCATCGGTATGCGTATAATCATCACTAAATACATTAACTATAGAGTTAAGAGATACATTTCTACATCTATTAAGTAAATAAAATAAACAATATTGTCCACACACATTAGATCTAGCACTCTGTAATCGTGTTACATTAAAAGCTGTACATTTTGGAAGTGAAAAGTATTTTGGTGAATGGCCATAACTGTCAAAAAATTCTTTTGTTGTTGATGATTCCATAAAATAGGCCACCCAATTTCGTCCCGGTTGGTGGCTTTCGTCGGTATTGACAATAAATCCAGTGGGGAATTGTTCTATATGTATCGGTATGCGATCATGTGCATATACACCTATGTTAAGTTCTTTCATGATAAAATCACAATTGATGACGCAACGAAGTTGGTTGGTGTTCATGGCTTTAAAATCTATCTTGCAGCGTTGATTTCAAAATAGCCAGGATACTCAGCATAAACGATGCAGCTGATTGTTTTGGATAGTGTTCTTCCAAATGTGACTTCCAGTCTGACGTTTCCTTGTTTTAGTAAGGTAAGATATTGATTCCCTTGAAAAATAGGCTCCAAATTAAATGTGTATAACGAATAACCATTTGACATGTTTTGCCTGGCGATATCTAATCCACAATCGGATAACCATATTCCAGTTGTTTTAAACATGTTCCTTAGGACTGGAATGGTGGTCTGACCAGTGGTAGCATCGTAATCTGGTTTTATGATGTTACCTCCTACGGGTATTCCGTCCACATGGAGACCAATGGATGTTACATTGAATGGTTGGAAGAACCATGGGTTTTGATTGTATGCTCCCGTGATGGCGGTTGCATCGACAAACCCAACAGTTACTTAATTTGGCCTCATTCCTTGAAATATGTTATCATATGTAAAACTGGTTCCTCCAGCGGCAAGAGTGACATTGTTTAGTACACTTTCTGTAAATGGATATTTTGCAGTAGTTGTTGCTATGGCTTGACTTTGGGGATAGATGACGGCAGGGGTCACTTTGACTTTAGCGATGCGTAGTCTAATATCTTCAAACTCGATCTTGTAGTAAGGGTTTTGTTCGCCAGAAAGTAAGCAAAACTCTGGCTTTGATCTGTACATCTTCACATTTACGTTTACTTGATTGAGTAAATATCTATCCATTCTGAATAGGTCATGAAATATGGGGCCTTCCAAATCGACAACTTTGCCACCTTCGAATAATTCGGCCCTTTTTAGTAAAGCTAAATTATTACCCGTTCTCACATCTGTATCGTTCATCTCTCCATCAGTATCTTTATGCCATAACTGTGTTGTTAACTGTGATGTTTAAGCATCGTTTCCATATTTTAATAATGTCTGAATGTATGCCTTGTATGCATAGTTAGCAGTAGTAGATATCACAGTCCTTCCTTGAAGCGTGACATCTACTTGTGAAAACAGAGCAGGTAACAAAAAATGAACAGGTCCCACGTCTTCAGTAGAGCTTATGGCAGTTCCATCCGCCTTTTTTATCTTTATTTTAGCATACACTAGCAAATTATTCATGTCGATGTATTCCATACCATTCTGACCGGAAACGACGAATTCTATGGGCGAATCTCCAGTCATTTGTGATATTGGTAGTACGTCTTGATAGTATACGTTTTCAACGGCTGTCTGTGTTGGTGGTAATTCAAAAAGTTCCAGTTGTGAAGGTTGAGCTTCTCTGAAAAAGTCTTTGTTTATTGTAGCCATGATGATAGTAAGTGATTCTTAGTAGATTTCTTACGTTTCTGTGTAGGCTTCCGTTTCTGTGTAGGCTTACGTTTCTGTGTGAGCTTTCGCTTATGCATAGGTTTACGTCTCTTAAACTGTTTTCCTGTTTTAGGTTTGACTTTCCTTGGTGGTTTTCTCTGAGAGGTCTGTATTCTTTGACGTTTCCTACTAGAATGAGACGGTGTCGATTTTCTCTTCCTTTTTAACTCTGACTTGGCTTGATCTACTATTTGTTGTGATGGTGATACCATGTTAACATCAAGGTTCCGTATCGGTAAGGCTTTCTCTCCGTCACTGCTATACTTGTCGATGGGAATGATGAATTCAGCCGTATTACCTGATATACCTCCTCCCCTTTGTTTTACATCTTGCATATCTGTATAAGGATTGATCTTACCATCCGTAACCTTTCGATAATATTGTAGCCACTTACCCACATTGGGCACGTATAAGTTAGAAACATTCATCTGTAAAATGGGTAGGCTTTAAACTGAAGTGTAATCGTTGATGGTTTCTTCAAGAATGAAGCAAAGTTACCGTCACTGTCTTTAATAGATATTTCTATATCTCTGATTTCTGACTTTTTTACAGGAACGTACTGAGGGGTGTCAAGTGTTTGGCTCCAGCTTGCAACTTTCTGAGCTTTCACCATTCGAAGTAGATTCTGCTTCTCACCGTCGATTATGGATTCTCCAACAATACCGCAATGTATGTATAAATATTCTCTCGACTTTGTATTACTTGTCGTTACACATATGTCAACGAGTACCACATTCCATGTACCATTCAGAGTAATGGGTGATTTTAGTTGACAGCGAAAATGGTATGGTTTGTTGTCGGGGAAGTAGTCGAGATTCTTGTTACTGTTAATGATCACGTAGTGCGTCATGTTAGCTTTCTGTCATGTCTTTGATGTCTTTCTCGGGAATCCATTGATTATATTTAGAGGGCTATCCTTCGAATTGGACAAACCACTCGAGCTGACCTCCTCTACTACGTTTGCGTATTTTTTTCTCTAGAAACTATAAAAAAATCATCTTTTTCAACTCGTTGTAATTCTGACTGATACAAATTTCCTTTGATGGTATCATCTAAAAATTCTATCAATTGGTACAGTGGTATTTCCTGCATTAGAACTCTTTTGTGTATCTTGAATATCTCTGAAGACCATTGTTGTTGATAGGCACGCTTAAACAGCTGTTTCGTATGTGAAATGCGAACTAAATTTCCTATCTTGAATTTGTAGGGATTGGTTTTTTTCGTTTTAAGTGTCTTTTTTTATTTTTAAGTTTCTTTTTTTCTCAAGTACATGAAAGCAACAAGATCTGCTTGATTGTTGTCATTTACATCTTTTTGAGCTGTTCCATTGAGGGAGCGGTGAGGTGTAGCATTATAAGAATCAACCAATTTCTGTAGATTGTCTATGTATCTATAGGTTCTTAATTTTGTAAAGTAGCGAAATATCATGGTCTTAAATGTCCTATTGACTTGCTCTACCATGGGAGCATGAATTTCGTTTTGTGTAGTAAAATAATGAATGTCATTATCAAGACACCAGCGTTTGAACCTAGTCTGAATGAATTTTCTTTGGGATTCTACCTCTCTCGACTATTTTCTTAAGGGTTTCTAATACCTCTATTGCTGTTTTCTTGTTTTAATAGGTTCGACCCAGAGAAAACGGCTTAACACATCGATGACCATCAACAAAAATCGTACACCTGAGTTATGTTTGGCAAGTGACGTCATGTCCAATAAATCGGTGTCATATTGCTCGAACGGTTCTCCAACTTCTACACGTGCACGCTTAAATGAACGTTTTACGGGTTTTTGCAGACTGTAGTCGTCAAGACTTTGAATGTATCGTCTGATCTTATATAAACATGGAGAGTAAAATCCTTGTGATTTTAATATTTGATGTACTTTTGTTGGATTTAAGAATGTTCCACCGTTATTAAAATTATAATAAATGTCATCCACTCTCTGTTTTTCTTGCTGCGTCAACATTTTCTGTAACGTAATATACATGTGACGTTCAGAAAATGTTAAAATATAAAAGTATAATAGAAAGCATGCTCGTTTACACACAATTTAATGATTTAAATATACATACTGATAAAATGTTCATGCTTACAATATAATAAAGACAAGATATATACAATCAGTTAACATTTAAAATACATTGGTTAGCGAATACATACTTAAGCTGTTGTCTTAAAAGTCTCCACGTAAATGAACAAAAATGATAAACGTTACGGTTTTATAAAGCGACTCTCTACACGAGACATAGATTGAATCATTTCATCAATCTTTTTTCTTCTCCATAGTTTTTTCAATTCTGTATTTCTCCATTCTAAGCTAGACACATTTGTAATATAATTGTTTCTCATTTCGTTTGGAATTTTCCACCTGTTCACTTCCTCTATAAAATGTCTTATAACATCATTTTGTAATGATTGTTGATATAAGTAAAAGGCATACACAAAATTAAATAAAGAGTCCATTTTCTCGATAGTTGTCTGTATATCCTCCATTTCAGTGGTTGATGTGCTCTTCATGCAAAGAGTCTCAGTCTGGCACTGTCTGTTTTCTTTATAAACTTTAGAATGTTCCCACTGAAATGTTGTTTGGCATATTCTTTAGAGCGGAAACACTCATCTTCCATTAAATGTTGCAACACGTGTGAAGGAATACAGGATTGAATAGTAAATTGACGCCACAGTTTCTCCACTTCTAAATGGTTGACCGTTGACAGGGCTTCTTCAAAATATCTATCTACTATGTCTTCACTATCAAGCATGACACAGTCATGTCCTTGCTGGTTAGCTTGGCCCTCCACACATCCTCCGCATACAAACAATTTTGATATGACATCTTTCACGCTTTTTTCACAATCTTCTTATAAGCATTTTCTTCAATGTGGTTTCTCATATAAGAATGAAGTCTCTCCTCAAATATATCCATTATAAATTAGCATGATACTGTGTAACCGTAGACGTGTAGGGGTATGACCATTTGTAAATACACACAATCTGTCGACCACCTTTTATGTTCGATTTCGACGGAATCGTAGGCTGTCCAGGAGCTTAACTGTACTCCACACATGAAACAGGTGAATTTATCGCTATGTCCTGAATATGACTTAGTTCGTTTGGAATCTGTCGTATTTGTCCTTAAACGTTTGTAATCGATCCTCACATTGAATCATGGACTGGTATGCTGGTCGAATGTGGTATGAAGTATGACGGATACAGTCTGTTGTAATATCTGACATGTTAGTGTATCAAATCACAAACACACTGTAAACTTTCCGATAGAAACAGTATCTTTTTAAAATAGTCTCCTGTTATTTGTATACTCTTCCCGTCTTCTTTTAAACAGACCTTCAGCTCACCTTTGACTTTTTTCACAATGACTTCTTGTGTAATTCCAAGTCTAACTTACTCTGTGATATGCTTGTCAGAGTAAAATCTTCCTTGATTATACGGTTGATAATCTCTTGTGCCATTTGTGGAGACTCTAAATGTTTACCTTATATACACATAAGGTTGCATTACTGCTATTTCAACTCACTGTGTATAGAAGTGTGACATAATCCCTCCACACATTCTTTCTTCCTGGACTGTGTATAGAAGGCTACCCTCTACATATGTATAAGGTTATTTTTAAATATATGTTACCGTCACCGTGGACATGTTCGGTCTTGCATGATCCCCTCCAGCCTTACGGTGATGTGTATTCGTTATCGCCTATTTACGTCCGCATATATTATGTGATATAATCCCTCCACGCATTCTTTCCTATTGTGTTGCATATTAATCCCTCCACACATTCCATGGGTTTCCGTCTCCTATTGCGTCATACATGCATATCTAGGTCAAAGGTCTGTTTTACCGGCTGGGCCTCCACACATTCAATGGGTTTTCCCTCCCCTATTGCGTCATACATGCATATCTAGGTCAAAAGGTCACCCTCCACACCCTCCACAAAATGTGTGGAGGCCTAGCCGGTAAAATACCACTACTAGAGGCAGATATGCCTGCTTTCTTAACAAACCAGGTTTATAAAATATTCCTTAACTAACATTTCCGACCTATTTGCTAACTTTAGTGCACTAATACAAATGCCTGTATGGCCTCATGCGTTCCTCATCCGTACATAAATCGTATCTATTTAGCAATGTTAACGTGAAAAAAACAAATGTTCAACCATTAGATAGCATGGTACATGCGTGTACAGCAGTGTTTCGATTATAACATATTTCTTAGAAGATTGAAATTCAGGAATGTACTTAAAAGTCCAATCAATCAGTCGAATACACAATCCTGAACGGCACACTGAAACAAAAACATTCTGACACTTGAATACGAGTACTATCTCAATCATGAGTTCTACAAATATGAAAACAAAAATTAGAATATAAATCATATGAAAATATACAAATAAACCCGCTCTACGATATCAATCATACATCTAAGCGAAATGCATTATTATGAATAACAAAACCACGTCCGTACTGCTGTGCACGATAATGATAATAAAGGCTTTATTTTTTATTTATTTTTATTTATTCTTGATAACATATTGAGCATGAAGCTCATCTTACACATGGTCAAGATACAATGTATGATAAAATGTTCAATATTTACAGCTACCGATCTCGTCGAATGTTCCTAACACACGGCCATTGAAACCTGACCTCCTACACACATACAATGTACAGATTTTTAATTGTATATAGTGTGCCTAGCTACACTGAGATAAGACACGTGCGAGCGGGAATCATGCGCCTACAGACATTATTACCAGGTGTGCGTCCCACGTACAGCTACTCTTCAGGACGGCCGTAACATTATTTATTGTAGTCGTATACCAGTCAAGGTAAGTACTTATGACCAGGAATTATATTACGCCCTACCTATCTAAATAACTAAATTTAAGTCGTTACACCACTGTCGCGGCTTACGATCTAGAGCGAATTCCAATGGGTTCTTCTGCATAGGGAATTCCAGAGTGAAAAATAACCCCGGTCGATTACAGCAGTTCTTATTTGACAGAATTGACTGACTGTTGGTAGCCAGCCAAGAGACCCGGGACGGACAGCAAACATTGGTCTGTGTACAGGTGAGTTACTGGTACACGTGTAGCTACCGCCAGGGACAATATGGAACATGCTACACAATACGTGTGTGTTACCGCCGATCTTATCTCTATTCCGTCTTTTCGTATTGCAGAGTTACGTCATTTGTTGGTGAGAGTAACGTCATCAATTTGTAAAGAAAACGACGTATTTTCTCACACAAACCAATAACGTTGCAATCAATATCTGATCACAAGAGAAGATAACTCTGCAATACGCAAAGACGGAATAAACATGACGTAAACTGTTACGCTTACACGCACTCTCGGTTCACTGGTTCTGATATGTACCTTATATCAAACTATCTGACACACTGTCCCACTGCAGGCACCAGATTTTCCTCTACTGTTTTTTGTGTAGACAGTAACACCCCCCCCCCCCCCCCCCCCTTAATGTTGTTTTACGTGTTATTGTAGCGCAGTTGTGCAAAACCATTGCTGTTGACCAGAAAGCTCATATGGAAAGAGATAATACATTACAATAACATAATGAGTATGTCATAGTTATTATTAACCAATAAATCCAGTCATGTTGGGAAAAAATTCCTATTCAAAGTTACAGTTTGTGACAGTGGTAAGGTGAAGCTTCTAAATGCCTGATATCCGTGTTTAAGGGGAAGCCCCCGTCCCTTAAACAAAGATATTTATATATATATATATACCTATAGAAAAAATAAGATTAACGACCGACTAAAAAACTAGCTGCTTTCACCCTTCACAGCGCTCTTCAGGGTGAAAGCAGCTAGTTTTTTAGTCGGTCGTTAATCTTATTTTTTCTATATTTACTTCCTTAACATGGACATTTAATCTCTTTTTATTATATATACATATATCTTTTCGTTGTCTGATTGACTTTATCTGGCCCAGTAATGCTTGGAATAGAACAGCGTCTTTAGAGTTTCGCCCCCACAGCTCACTCCGAGGCTTCACTCCCCTTAATTTTATATCCATTTAACCCATGCACATACATTTTATTTCCCCAAGACATCGAACCATATTTTATTTTCCGGATGATAATATTTTCCAGGATAGAAGTGGGTCAAGCCAGTAGTAAAAAAATACGCAATGTCGGACAAGTTTCCGGAAACAATATATGACGTCAAAACGCCATCTTTTCTCGTGGATATTGACGTCATCCAAAGAAATGTGACGAGAATGAAGGAGACATGTGACCGGCTAGGTGTACAACTGAGGCCACATATGAAGACCCACAAAACAGTGTACGTAATACATATATATACACTTTTACTCTGGACGTGATTTCATTGGTCAATCTTCTAATTATGACAATCAATTACAACAATGCTTTTCGACGTCATCTTCCATTGTGACATCATTGTTCGTTGCAATTGTCCCCCCGATCAGATACAGGGATACTGTATTACCAAGAGAAACATACGCTTTTCTAGATATAAGGTATGAAGGTTAACGGAGAAAAGGGTCCCAAATGGTTGATGATTGGTTATCATTCTTATCTAACTCTCGAAGGTTAATTTTGAAATTGCAAAAGACACTCAGTAAACCTAACTTTATTCAACTCGAGATAGATAAACATGATTACCAAACACCACTCGTTGGGTAACCACTGTATACAATATATATCAATTCATTAACTCGGTGTCATTATCACATTGTCTAAGAATTATGACCATTCTCATCATGGTAACATTGTCTGTTCCCTTTTACATAAACTTCGCCAGACCTTTAACCAAATATTATGTTTTTTGTTTTTTTTTCAAAATATTTTCTTTTCTTGAATGTCTTGCTATTAGAAAAGGCGTTGTGATGTTAATAAAAAAAATCAGTATTTTAAAACGGCAAATTCATAAATTTACAATTCAGCTTACATTAATAACACGAACAAGTCAAAACGATTTTTAAAAAAGATAACTTGAATAATAGTTGAATAATAGAATGAACCCGATTACACAGCGGACTTCTTTCGTCTGCCATATTTACGTGTCATGTCTCCACTGTAGAGAACTAGGCGAAATGATGACGGACGGTACAAAGAAGTGTCTGGTTGTTTCCACTCTAGACGAGGCCGAGTTTTACGCTAGCCACGGATTTGATGACATTCTATACGCCTACCCGATAACACAACACAAACTTGGCAGGTAAGCAGTTGCTTAAATATTATAGCAGCAACGATACAAAAAATATAGGCTCCTCGACAGCAGCTTAGGTAGGAGGGAACTTCAGTTGTAGGTCCCTTGATACAGAAGACTCACTTTATCGTCTTTTGTCTTTCTCCGTAAATATTTGTTATTTTTCTTCTTACCATTTTATTCAGGTGCCGTAGATTAGGAGAAAAGCTAGATAAGTTTCACATGATGTTTGAAAGTCCGGAAGGTTTGGAATCATTGAAGACTTCGCCAAGAGGAAATGATAGGAAATGGTCTGTGTATCTGGAGATTGACCTTGGATTGGGACGAAGTACGTAATAAGTTAATACCATTTATTGTGATTGGCAGAGTTCCGATCTGACGTTACCCGGATGAACGTAAATTTAGACTAGATTATCTTTCTTAGTGCCATTGCTATCCGTTAGGTTCACTGTTGGGTTGTTCGAAGCAACGTAAACGAAAAGCTGAAATTCTTTGACAGATAACCCAAGTTAAATTCATTCGTGTTGAATATACATGTAACACATCATCATACTGATTATGTGTAACGTTATTGAACTATTTGTTATTTCCCAGGTAGATGAAGACTACAGACAAGTGTTATGATCGCCAATTTCTTTAAGTGATATGAGTGTTGATTTTATTGAATTTGTTCAATACTCTGCCTTGTTGTCACTGTCTCAGTGCTCGTTATGTGGGCGTTAAACTACTTGGATCTGACAAAAGAATGTTAACCTGGCGGGTTTCACCAATAACGCTGAGGACGCTGACCATTCCTGTTCTTCTCCTGGTACTTTGTCAGGGGTCTCCGTGTAACCCTTCCTTAATACATATTTTACTCTGGTTTTAACGATTTTGAGTTCGTGTTACGGTTTTGTTGACACTTCGGTATTCTTTTGCTTTTTTGTTATCTGGAATTGTGTGTGAGGGCCCTGTCAATGTCGGAATTACTTTGTGTGGAAAGCGTGATTGTGTTCGATTTAGCGATAACGTCAAAGTTCTCACGAGGAACAATCGCAATGTTGTCGTCACTACGCGCACCAGGTATAACCGCACGAGATTAACTGTAAAAGGTTATTGAGTCAATTACGCTTGAAACTGTAAACATTCCGGATTCAACCGTAAATAACACGTTGTTCAATTGACGTAACACTCATCAACAGTGTATCATGTCTAGCTGAAGCGGTTTTTACTGTGTCGTTGTGTTAAGATGGGCCCTTTTAAGGGCGCTGAGATTTTATGTGGCTACTTTAAAGCGGATGTTGATAGTTTAGGTAGATACACGACGGCCATGCAAAGTCCTCCTGGTCTTACTCGCGATAACAATGCGATTACGTAGATGCAACAGCCGTACATTGCAGTCTTCCTGAGCGGTCGTTACAGGTGTCTGTGCCACTTCGTGGACGGTCGGACGTTGATCCAGTCAAGTTTAGACGATTTAATTAAGGAGTTATTGTTTTTTCACTGCAACCAGATTATCATTCAACTTAATACTGCGATATTCCTTCATAGAAAAAACCAACAGCCATTTCCCTTTGATTTCCTGATAGCCGAGGCATACAGAAAAAGCGTTTTGGCTATCATTTTATAGTTTAGGATTGTTCAGTCGTCATGGGGTGGCAGCAATATTACGTTTATGTTTATAAAAGTAACAAGTGTAATCAAAAAGTTATTTGGTAAAATGAGAAAAGCGCTCTTTGGTTATCATGGACTTTCACACCTGAATGCTTTTAATGATTTTGGTAAGGAATATGGTGTCACGTAGTAGACATTCAACTCCCATATATTTATCCTACAAAACGTTGTTCCATCTTCAGCGATATGGAAGTAGAGGGAAAGGTCTTAACCTTTCTTTTTTGCCTAGTATATTCAAAAGCAATTATAGCTTATTAGGTGTGAACAAACGGGCCGAGTTCCAAGCATCAAAAGGACAAAATTCTGAATGTTTAAATTGAGCATTTGTGACCTATATAAATGACACTATCCCCTTTTCCGTTTGACCTTCTCGTGACCTTGTAGGTAAAATTGAATGTAACTACATATTGTAACTCATTATCATGTATTACAGCTGGTGTTGAATGGGACTCGGAAATGGCCTTGACATTGGCTACAGAGGCCGCGAACAGTCCCGGTATTGAATTTCTCGGCCTGTATGTACACAGTGGGGACTCGTACCTCGCCCGAGGCCCCGACCAAATGCGGGAGTCGGGCAAGAGAAACACGGATAAGTTGCTGCAGCTGAAGGTCAGGTAGGCTGTTACTGGTATTTTGTTTTATCATATACATGTATTAACTCAGTAAACAAACAGAGCTACTGACAGAGTGTTGGTCTTGTATTAAGTTTTACATTGTTTTGCATGTTATAACCTCATTAAGATATATCTCACTAACCGACATTTTACTGTGCACTGAAAATATTTACTTTCGCGATATTCTAACGACACTGTGAGTTGTCTCCCTTCCCTCGTTAGGCTGGCAGAAGCCGGGGTGACCTGTAGAAGCCTATGCATGGGTTCGACTCCAGGCTGCTCACATCCGGACGATAGTATGGCACAGCTAGACGCCTTTTCGCCCGGAAACTATGCCTTCTACGGTACCTATACATTTCAAAGCTCACGACCTTTAAGTTTTATATTTTAGGGCAGATTTCCAACACTTTATGAACGTTATAGTGGCCATCGAAACCTAAATTGAAAACTATGACGACAAATACTTCCAGATGAATAAAGCATGATGCATCAATACGTTTGCAGGTTTTAAGGGAAGGTCAATGTAGAATTGTCATTAACAAACGAGGAAATGAAATATCTATTTGTAAATATCTGATTGTAGATGCCAAAAAACATACAAAGTAAACAATTTACTGCACCATATGGTCATTTCATCTATTAAGGACTCATCAGTAGTGCCAAAGGTCAAAATTATGATAGTTCATGTCTAATGTGTTTCATAACATATGCAGAATACAGCGAAAGTGAAAAGTACAAAGAAAGGAAAACTCTAAATTTGCAAAACTCAAAATAATTCTTTGAATTTGTTTATTATATTATGAAAAGTTTCCACGAGAAAACAACGATACTAATTTATTCAGGAGAGCAATTTTATGGGCTTATACTGTTGCTCAATATCTTTAGTATACAAAGTCTATCCAATGAAATATTCTGATATATTTGTATTTGCGTTAAGCCCCTTTAACTTAATCTACAGAAAGGGAATAATTGCACATTAGTTCGACAGGACTGTACTCCAGCATCGAAATCGGCTCCGAGACACTAGGCGGGATATGCTATGTCCACATACGACTAAAGATTGTTCGTCTGCATGACTGTGCTTAACATAAGATATGATAGTATGTTTCTCCTACAAAAGATCGTTATGAATAAGAAAAACGTCAAAAAGCTTAGCGTCGTGTAGTTATGGATAATGTGACGTCACAATAACGATTACGCCAAGTGCAACATACGATATTTTTAGTTCATCCCACGCTCATGTTCATGGTTTTTTTTTTTGCACACAAAGGAAGCCCAATCTCTTTCTGTTTTCGAAAAATCATTCGCAATTTTCCAATGGCAACAATAAAAATTACGGCACTATTACCTTAGAGTCATTACATCGATCTATGTCACGTTCTGTACAGAGTGTATATAATAAGCTTAAGAGAAAGTTGTAGTCAGACATCTAACCTTTTTGGTTGACCAGGACTTCCGTTCAGACTACAAAGCATCTAACATCGCGCTTACACATTTGGTAGACTACCCAAATTAGTACACGGTCAGAAAGTGATTCGAATAGTACTTTAAAATTAGATTTATTGATTTTCTGCCAATAATATTACAATACATATATTAATCAGTTTTGTTTCTAGCAACATTTTAAGAGAACCAGTACTAGAAAAAAGTTTTTTGTATAGGCATGTTTAGATGTTGAGTTCCTGTCCTTGTTTTACAATTGTAGTACAGTAGTGAATATATAAAAGCGATGTATTTTGTTGCAATCGATAAATCAACTAGTAGAAATAAAAACAAGTTTCATAGCATGTAATTTGGTGCACCAATTTAGGGACGAATCATGGCAGAGTTAAGCATTATATTTAAAAAAAAAAATCAGTATCAGAGCTTTTCCTGATATGAACCACCATGGGTAGTCTTTGTCAAAAAAACGTTCATATACAATATCTAGATTTAAAAAAACCCACTGAAAAACTGTCAAATTTGTACCAATTGTGTTGTTAGACTCGAGTTGACATTTCTCTTTCTTCTTAACACGCGACCTATGTATTATATAATATAACCAATGTACATACACATTCAGTCTGTTATTTATTGTTTTCCCCGTGTCAGACGCCATGCAGCTGAGGATAGGTTCATGCGAGGAGAAGGATATTGCTTGCAGAGTTATTTGCCGTGTTATCAGCCACAAGCGAAGTCAAAACAAGATGTCGGTGGACGCGGGTTTTCTCGGGTTAAGTCAAGACGGCATGGACCAGGGACTGGCGGGGGGACCCGTCGTGTTCCAGGGCCATCCAGAGCTCAAGTAAGGACAACGACCATCACATATACCGGTATATCGGACATAGTCTACATGGTTGCTTCCAATAAATCTCAAGGTTTATCAACCAATACTCAAATCTTTTCTTAAATGTATATTATATAATGATTACTCTTTAGCCTTGACCTTAAAACCCCAGTTTCACGTCATTGACTTCCGTACCGAAGAACTTAACCTTAATTCTATGTGAAAATTTGAAGTGAACGTTCTATTGTTGACTATGGGCTTCAACAAGCTTTGCATACATTTAAGCATCGACAGTCTAGACATAACACACGATTTACATGGCAATTACTTGTGTAAAGTTTGGTACAGTTAGATTTTTATCATACTGACGCGACAATAAACTCGTTAAATTTGATTTGACTGTTAACTCAATGACCTGGACCTTCTTGTGACTAGACTTACCCGTCATTAATATCTTTAGAACTGACACGAACTTGACGTGTGTTGTGTACTCTGATGTCTAATTAATGTTTAAACGTCAGCTTATCTAACATTGACCTATCATGAGCCTCTACTGACACTGATTTAATGTAATACGGCTCTGACGTCACGATTGAAATATAATCTCCCCTTGTCTATCAACAGGCTTTTGGGTATGTGCCAAGAGTTGGGCAGTGTTGGCACACAGGGCACCCCGCTAGACTTTTCCAAATATCCGATCGGCTCTTTGCTTTTCATCTATCCGCATCACGTGAGTACTTGGCTTATTGTCATGTGATCTCTATTTTAAGCTGACTAAATAATATTCGATGACAGGAATGGATGGTTCTTGACCTGTTTCAACCAAGGTCGACATTTGTTTTAGTATTGGTACAGCAGCTTGCATTATAGTTTATATATTATAATTTAAGATTGACATCAAGAATTGATTCATAGTTTAAAGTAAGGAGCCATAGGATCATAACATGTACAAAGAAGCCACGCCCACCTCTCAATGATACCACGTGTGATACAGGCGAGTGTATGCCTTACAAACATACCTTGTATCACTGTTGTCATTTCGTTCTTATTTGTCGATGTTTCGTTGATTTCGTCTTCTAAATTATAATGTGATGAATGACAAATGTTCAATTGAGAATGTCATTTCAGTATCACGATTTGTTTTTAAGTAAGAACATCCAGGGATAAAATAAAAAAGACTCGGTTTTTCATTGTGTCCTCCTACTAAATTATAATGTGATTAATGACAAATGTTCAATTGAGATTGTCATGTTCATTTCAGTATCACGATTTGTATTTAAGTATATGTAACACATTTTTTATCCATAAGAACATCCAGGGATAAAATAAAAAAGACTCGGTATTTCGTTGTGTCCTCCTACTAAATTATAATGTGTAATTGATGAAAAATTTCGTACTTAATTAAGAATGTCAAATTCATTTCAGTATCAAGATTTTTATTCAAATAAATGTAGCACAATTGTATCCATAAGACGTCAAGAGATAAAATAAAACGAAGTCACTTTCTTTATCACAGCTATGCTATTATCTCTAACACCTTAAATAGCTATCATGTGACGTTAGGTTATTATATTTTCCTGTATTGTATTGGTGTTTCAGTCATGTGCTACTGCCGCGCTATACGAGAACTACTACGTACATTCTGGGGAAAAAATCGTCGGGGTCTGGAAGCCGACTCGGGGATGGTAGAGGGAGGACACGCCATTGAATAGCCGACCGGGGATGGTAGAATTGGGACAAGCTTTAGATGGCCGACCCGGGATGGTAGATCGGGGGCACGCCTTTAAGTTAAGGGCGGGGTATTGACTGTGGAATACGCAGGATCACATGTCAGTGTGTTATTTCTAGTGTTAGTGGAATATGTTACCATACATGTGAAGAGTAGAGGACACTCCTACTTTTTTCTTTACAATTTAATAAACCGAACCAAGACCATGTGCTAACGTGTTGTACTTGTGTTATATCCTTTAATGATATGCCGATAAACTACTTTAAATATTGTACCAAAACTTTGGATTTATGACAGTTAATCACATGGTTTTTCTGTGTGGCATGGTTTGTTTCCTTTTTGATCTGGTTATTTTTTTCGGTGTTCACGTAATGTGTATGAAATTCATAGTACGAATTTGAGACGCAACACGAGTTTTTGGTTGGCTAATCAAATCATGTTTTGAATAATCCTGAATTTAAGATGTAACAGGGACTTCGGTTGGCCAATCGAATCAATATATGAATGATATTCCGAACTTGGCATGTCACACGGCCATTTGGTTAGCCAATCAAATCAATATTTGATTGATATCCCAATTGTGACGTTTCCACTATGCTCCGTACCGGTCACACTGGAGATTCAGACGAGTATAACTACCCCAACTGGAGTGTATCAATATTCTAGTATAGATGCAAATATATACAGATAAGTTCATCTAGCTCTGTAACATTGCCTATGTCTGAACATTCACTGCTTGTGATCATGTACGTCTTGTGCTAATACATATATACAGGGGATATATACAAAGCAGCATCAATTTAACAGTAAATGCAAAATAACTACGTATAGAACAATAAAACACCTAATACTAATCTAACTGAGCGCTCCTTCTATACACACGCGGCCGATCGCTCACTGACCTGTCACTGCTCAACCGCCCTACCTGTACTCCGGCGATAGATCGGAACGCTCAGTACGACAGATGTCTCGCTACAATGATAGCTCGGCAGCACTACATGTACCTATATTGTACAATCTATAGAACTCCTCTTGCTAACCTTGAGTTACCCTGACCACTCGGTGGTCCTTATAACTCCATATAGCAATCTAGCGAGTTCTCACAGTGCCCTCGATTTACGATAGCTCGCCCTTGTATGGTATGGTACTTTCGATTGAGCAATCGTAATGGGTAACAGTCTTATTCAGACATACCCCATCATTGAGACCTCGCTCTCTAGTATGCTTACAACTTACAAGAAATGCTGCTGTCTCCGTACGTCCCGCTTCCAGAATGGCGAATGGCGAAAGGCCATGCACGTTGGCCGAAAGGCCGAGGCCTGCGAATACCCATAGGGCCCGCCCTACCTGTCAATCACCCGGATATTTTCCGCATCACCTATGTGTTTTGACCGGGGCAAATCAATGCAAGGTCAGCTTTACTCTAGGGCGCAAATAGCATGGAGAACGGAAATTTACAAATACAAACAGCTGGCTCGGTTTGAGATGTAACACGGCCTTTGATTGGCCACTCGAATCATTTCGTTACATCATTACGATATGCTGCGCGCCTCATCTAATAGTGTATTTTCACAGATTGTTGCTGTTGTTGATTAAAGTTAGTCTTTTTTTATAAGAATATCTGAACAGAATTTAGGTTTGTAAATTAAAGTGATTGAGACTGGGCAAACCATACTCTATTCTGAGATTTATTCAGTATATTGCAAATAAACCGCCGCCGCCGAAAAAGAAGAAGAAAAATAACAACTTCATGTATTTGTCTAATTAAATCATGCATTGCAAATAAAACTCAGTTTGATAAAGAATATTCTTGATCCAGTTAATAATTTTACGTGAAGAAGAACAAGAACCGTGTAAATGTAATCCATGTTTGTCGTAAGGAGAGTTAACCGAAGTTAGAACAGGGAATGTAATCCATGTTTGTTGTAAGGAGAGTGAACACAAGTCAGGACAGGGTATGTAATCCTTGTTTGTTGTAAAGAGTGTTAACACAAGTCAGGACAGGGATTGTAATCCATGTTTGGTTCAACTTCCATGATCTAGAAAATGGCGATCGCTCAGGTGGGAAATTTTGAACGATTGCAATTTGAGGACTGCTGGCGGAATTCAGCAGCTGTTGGTAATAATAAGAGCAGATTTGGATCAATAAATAATCTATTTATCGATGTATGTGAGGTATGTGTTGTGCCATTGTAGATTTTTGTTGTCAGCATCTCAATTAAAACTCTCCGATACCAAACGGTTACGTTTTCATAAACATAGTAATTAGTGCGCTCTGGTCCCAAAACCAGACGTCTATCTGTCAAACTATCTTAGTCTGATGTCAGAGGCGGCGGAAACTCACAGCTGATAGCATGGTATACAGAACATTGATATCTATCTAAAATGTTGGTTAAACAGATACAGATACATATAGTTTATAATTTATTAAACGTGGGATAACCCCTGCTACCTGCGGCTATTGTTATTTCGAAGGTAAAGTTCAGTCACAGGGACCCGGCTACAGTTGGTTTGTTTGGACCTATCCCGCTGTGTAAAGAGTAATATCTCTCGAAATAAATGCCACCCCTCCTTCCAACAGCACCCGAGAAAAGATTTAAGCGTCTCAAGTCGCAAGGACGTCTTTTGCCGGTGTATCTAGTTTCTACCACGAAATCGTATAAATTAGATGTATACACCCGGGAGAATGATTACTCCGACATATCAGGGTTAAGTCAAAACAAACATTATTGTAACTAATTCGCGGGTCCATATAGTTTATAATCTGTTTTTATACGTCTCTGATTGAATTATGAGACTGAAGTACAATGTCTGTTTTACGTATCGTTTTAATTTAATTCGAATATTGAACAGGGAAAGTATAAAGACGACCACTGTGCACGGGTGTGTGTATATAATAATGAAAAATGAAGATGAGTAACACTTACATACCCTTTTCATTATGCATCGGAAACGTATGGTTGGTGTTTCTATCTGTATGCGTTATATGGTGTTTTTTTTAAATCAATTGAATTCATATGAGCTTCAGATCACTAGTACCGTAAAAATTCCAAAAGTTTGTGGGTGTTGGGTTTGGCGGTATCGATGGCAACGGCTCCTTATCTCCAATGAATTCAACTTCCTATACAACGACAGTATCTGACGAATTACGGCAACGGTTTTTTTCAAATACTTTTCTACCATGATAGTTTTATTTTTCCTTTCTTTATTCTGCATAAAAAAAGATATTTGGATCGGAAACAAAGTAAATCCTCAATATCTTATAATTGACACAAACATGCCCAGTATATAAAACCGTCCTTTTGTATGGTAACTTTATGCAACTTCCTTCAGATATACGATATGCTTCTGATTCGTATTTCAACAGGTGAAATCGAAAGGTTGTATGAGTAATTAAGTGTTTATTTCGCATTTCAAAAGAACAAATACAATTTTACACTGAATTTATCTAAAATTTTCATATTCTTTAACTTCTTTTATTTCTCTATTCGAAGATTTTATTTTACTTTAAAATCATAATCTGTGTTTTAAGTTAACAAAATGCTTCTAACTTTTTTATGTTAATTTTCATAAAAATCACAATGCAAATGCTACCGTGTCGAGTCATTTACCTTGATATGTAACACAAAAGATCGGTGTGTTAGTTAGGATGACCATGACCGCTATCAGGGGTAGCCAATTAACTCAGCGGGGGTGCACCATCCCCCATCGGTACATGTACTTCAATTTTCGCCCCTGGGCATCTTCATTTCAGTAAAGCCAGACCCCACGCCGTACATCGCCTGCACTGGATCTTATATTACATAAATGATTCAGCTATCGTTTTATGTCTGCTCGAGTTTCCACTGGCCTTAACATCAGACTCACCAGACAGACATCTATATGTCAAAATGTTAGGGCCAGAGGAAACTCGGGCTAATCTGACTAAAGACGTATACGTCCCTGATCAGTCCCTTATATAGTACTGTTTCTTTGTTTGTAGTTAAAAAATAAACATCGGGTGGTTAAAGCAAAGGGGTATAAAAACAACTTATTCGTAGTACATACACTGGTATAGTATTTATGTCTCTGATTAAAGGATTTTAAAAGTGATTGGGAGGGGGGGCTTTTATAAATGACGTCCTCTGTGTTGGAGTCCACACGCCAAAGGTACGAAGCTCGTCTATGTGGCTCCAGAGACGTATATACTACATACTTTACGTCTCTGGTAACTCTAAATGTAAATTGAAGAATCTCTTTGGAATCACCCGGGACTGTTTTTCAGTACAATTGCGTTTTAGGTTTCTTCAATGTTTATCGTTTATGTACAATGGTAACAAAGTAAAATCAATGCTTAGAATCCTTTTACTATGATTAACAATACAGTAAAGCCTCACTCCCGACATTAACTCGATATGACATTTCCTGTTGTCTTAGTGAGAGACGATAAAGAAAATGTTTATTTTATTTCGCAGACAGAGGTTTTCACAATATTAGATTCTCTTATAAAAACGTGTTTGCTTCTAAGCTCGTTGAAGTAGGCATTTTAATCCAAAATGAAATTCGTCATCCACGTCATATTGAATGATCAAACGGGACCTACATTCCGATGTCTTCAAGATTCAATGTGAATACCATACAAAATATCACATCCATACCAGAGGCACGTGTCAACGGTGGGGCTGTTGGTTTGTGTACTGGCCACGTCGATTAATCCGATAGACACCAGTTTGTTCCCTTCATGGAATACAACATAACAGATATACTCTAATTTAAAACAAGTAAAATCTACATACAAAAGATTACATACAATAAATGATTTCCAACCTTTTCCATGACTTCCCACACAACTGCTTATCTGGTGCGGGGTCACCATTCCAGATTTCCATTTTTTTTAACATATTTTGACTGAATGCGTTAAGTTAACCAAAAAAAGTATCTACTAATATTCCTCACGTTCATTGTTTTCTTACTTTATCGAAAAATAGTATCTATTAATATTCCTCACGTTCATTGTTTTCTTACGTTATCGATGTCGAATTCGAATGATTCTTCGGTATACTCAGAGACATATAAAGTGTATACGTCTCTAATATTCTCTATTTCTTTTTCTATACCTCAGCGGATTTAATCATTGTTATCATATTATGGTTTTAGAAATTTATAAACTGATTAGAAAAAAAAAAACATATTTCTTTCGAGTAATATATTACTTTATAAAGAAAGTTCAG